GACACTCGCGCGATGCAGTCGTGCCGGTACAGAGACACGCTGCGCCCGAGCATGGGCCGGTCCAACCCAGGACCCATCTCCCCTGAGAAACGCCTACAGGCTGCCTGCCCGGGTTACACCCAGCAGCTCTGGGCGTATCCTAAATACAGCCCGTCCTGCTGCAAAAAGCCTTCCCAAAAGCAGATACCACCTGCAGTGCACATCCCTCCCCAAGTGCTCTCTCCATGTCCAAGTCCCAGTGCTGCCCCGGAGTCGAGCTGTACTTGTCTCTTTGGGACTGCACTGCTCTTTGTAGTGGGACTTTATTTCCCTTTTCTGTTTTGATACTGTAATTTCCCTTTCACACCCGTGGGAGGTGGTGTGCTCCCTAGTGTTCAGGTACCCTCAAAACCTTAAATATGGGTGACGGGGTTGATCTCGCCCAGCTACCTGCCACACAAACGTTTGCCCTCTCCAGAAGAGGTGAGACAGGAGGCTGGGCAGCTGGCGTAGCCTTCCCAGCAAGGCGACCTTGGATCTCGCCACTTCTCAGCTCAGGCAGAACGAAGCAGTCTTTTGTCCCTGCATCTTGGGGCTGGCTTGTTTAGTACCTGGGCATTTTCTGGTTTCCCAGACTTCCCCAGCGACTCCAGAGCTACAGCCTGGACCAAAGAAACAAGACAACTCCCTTCTGCTCTCTCTGCTACGTGTCCTGGTCGAGACATCCACGAGGATGGGGCTTTGGTCCAGCTGGAGCCTGAAGCCAGATCTCCAGAAGCCAACTTGTTGCTGGCCTTGCTGGAGGGGAGCCGTCTTGTTCTGGCACCACGGACTTTGGATCGAAAAGAAAAAATATACATATATCGAAACAAGCTTAGGGTTTCTTGAGGAGTCCAAGTTTATCACCTCTCCCTGCCGAGGAGTCAGTCGATGGGGAAGCAGGCGGCTGGCATGGGCGCCCTGCGGAAGAGCAGGCTGGAGCCGCGGAACAGCTGCCCCTGAGGAGGAGAGAGAGCGCAGGGTCAGGGCAGCCGTGCTGAGACCCGGCCGGGGAACTGCAGCTGGTTTAGCAGGGACCGACTCGTGCCCACTGCAGGGCTGCAAGGCCTGAGTACCCCGGGTTGCTACGGAGGAGAAAGCGGGGTTTCAGCCCCGTGGGCGCTGGAGTCGGGCATTTCCCCCAGGGATGACTGATGGAGAGGGGCAGAACCACCTTGCTTTGCTGTGTGCAATGCGTTGGCTAAAAGTTTGCAGGCTGCAAGCTCGGGGCATGTAACGGGCAGAGCAGTACTGCCATGCCCAGTGCCAGAACTGGAGGGATGGAAACAGGTTACAGGGCACGTCAAGGATGCGGCACAGGCACTTTTTAGGCAGCGCTGGAGACCTTGGGAAGGAGCAGAGGGAGCCCAAAGCCCCACGTGTGCCCCGCTCCCTCACCTGAGCACTGAGATACCTCCAGCAGTGGATCCAGGATGTAAATGCGGGAGCGTAGGGAGGGAGGCCGGCGCGCAACCTGCATGGCAACAAGAAATAGCTGAGACGGCCTGTACAGATGTCACATTATCCAGACAGGTAACACAAGAGCAGCAATAAGTGTAAGCGAGGACACAGAAACGGTGTCCGCACCGGGCTGAAGGCCAAATGACCAGCTCGTTATTTACAATGCAACAGATCATGTAATTTAATTTCCCCTGGAGCGTACAAACAAGGAGCGTTGCCTGGATATGTTAAGAGCCCAGGACTATACGCTGTATCCACACTTTCAAGAGCCAGCAGATCTCGAGAAAACACTACACCAGCGGCTTGGATCCAGTCCCCTTCCCGTAAGCATGAATGCGGACTTCTTGCAGCAGTGGGATTGGGAAAGCAAGCTCGGTCCTGCTCCTGTCTGCACCCGTCGCTGCATTAAGAGCTTTGCTTTCCCTCGTGCTGCTCCCTGGAGCCAGCATGGTCCCTTTGATCCCTTCTGCCTCCGGTCTAGTTCAGATTGGACCACACCACCACGACTCTCCCCATTTCTCTCCACTTGAGCTTTTATGCTGCTCTTGTCTGTGCCCTCTGATCTAAAATTATAAGCAACCTGGGACAGGAAACGAGCCGACTCTGCGAGGTGCCATATAGTTTACGGTTCTGTATGAAAGCTTTACGACCATTAGCAGACGATTCAGACAACAAGGGGCTGGAAGAAAGGAAGGGAAAGCCTTAGATCTCAGTGTGACGGACATACCCACAGTTGTTCACTGCCATGAGATCTCCCACGAGAAGGAAAGGGTACGTCAGCATGCTCACAGCAATCTGAAAGCACAGAAAACCGGTAGCCTCTCTAATGTTAATCATGTCAAAAAAGCTAGTTCCAGCTCTTGCGTGTTAAGCAAACTTATCCTCATCTTTGGATATAAAGTACAGACCAGCCTTTTCCCCCAGACCACGAGCTCTCACCCCAGAGATGTCAGGAAGAGGAGAGATGACATGGCAGTTGCCTACGTACCCCCATCACGAATTTTGTGTAGCTCCGGATCACCGATGCCTGGCTGAACTGGAAAGAAAAGCCAAAGGGATTACGGAGGAGGCGGATGACACCGGGCTGTCACTACATGACATCCCTCCGAGCCTGAGATGATGGGCGCGGGGCAGGGGAAGAAGGCAGAAAGCAACAATAACCACACCGCATCCCAGCTGAGAATCGGGGGAAACACTCGCTATCAAACCCGGTCCCCTAAACTGCAGCTGAAACACAGCCCTGAGCAGACATGGCATCTTTGCCACTTTTACAGTGTTTTATCCAAAGCCCAGTGTCTATTGAATTAGCCATTAACATCCCATTAACTCCTTCCAACTGCAGGTGCTTGGTACAGGCCCCCCAAACCCTCCATCAGGCACTTCCACTCACGTTATCGTCCACTGCATAGGTGTTGATGAAGTGAGCCAGGAGGTTGCAGCACCAGAGGAAGATGACGTCCCCCAGGATGTGAGGGACTAAACCGCTGCAACGGCAAGGAGGGGCGTGAGGTGCAGAAGGGTCCCAGTGCCGCCTTCTGAGGTGCCCAGCCCTCCCCCACTCCCTCCACCAGCGCAGAGGAACCCCCCTCCCTCAAAATGCATCTTTACTTTGGGAGGAACTGAACGGAAAAGGGGAGATTTCAGGGAAGAGCTCTCCCGGCCTTCAAACATGGTCCTACATGTGCCGCCAGCTGCTCCAGACAGGGGATGCTCTGGAGTAGGAAGTTTGGGATCTGTCGTTTGGGCACGACTCAGCCAAGTCCCCTTGTTCTACCCCAAATCCCTTCTTGGCCCAACTCCTGCTCTGAAACCCAGGCAAGACACAGATGAAGCGGGTTTCTGTTAAGCTCATTTTGCAGATGCTCTTCTGGATGCAGAATGAGAAGTTCATCTCTTTGTGGAATCTCTCTCCTTTTAGAAATTAAAATGAGGGGATTTGTTCCTGCAAAACCTGCTCTACTGCCAAGTGGGATTAACTGGGGGCAGCGCTCCAGCCCCTGATTTTCCCCTGATTTTTCCTGCTGCCACCTGAGAGGACGGGGACAGGGGGTGATGTGCTGCTTTGGCTTACAGCTCTCATCGACACGCGGGCCGGAGCTCCCAGCAGCACGAGCACACCCAGCTTCTGCACCTAATGGCACTAAAACAGTAACAAAGCGTTTCAGAAGGTCGCTCCAGTTTGTCAGAGCTCCTGCAGCATCTGTGGCACCAGCGCAGGCATCGAGCGCAGGGCCTCCTGCTTTGGCTGTGCGGTCGTTCCGCTGCAAAAGGATCCAGGTGTGTTTTAAACCTGCCTGTTTCACCAGCAGGTGTGTTCAGACAGTTTTTCTGAAAATGAGCCTGCTGAGAGCCACACGAGCGTTTGCTGGGCTGGAAAGAGCCACCTCCAGGCACACTAGTCCGAGCCATTGATTTCTTCCCGAACACCACGCTGCCCTTCGGAGAAGGGGACCGGTTTTGTTTCCTGCTGTGGTCGCTGCAGCAGCAGAACGGCAATGAGAACAGCGTGCTCTGATCCAGCCTGCTTCGCTCGCTTGGTGTTAGGGTTTATACTTTCTGGAGACAACCTGTGTACCGTCAAGGCCCCGGCAGCTCTGGAGATGCAGCCGAAGTCTCAGGGGCTAGGCACAGCAGAAGTCTTCAGTAGAAGATCTGCTGGCTTAAAAGATGTGATACATGAGAGCAACGGACAGGACAAAGAAATCAAAGCTCTCTGGTCCCAGAGATCGTCTGCTTTGCATTTAGCATTCAGCCTTTGTGTTTAAAAAAAAAATAAAAAAAATTTCCTTTCTCTAACTCAAAGTCAAGTCTGAAGCAGACTCCTCAGCTGCTGCAGATACAACAGGGGCTTAATAAAGTCCAGAAACAGAGGGCTGGTCCAGGACTGGGCCACGGCAGCCATGTAAGTAAAACCTCACAGATACGATCATAGAGAATCGGGTCGTTTGTTCCATTTGCACTAAGGATCCCACCCCTCTCTCTCCTCCATCATCAAAGTAATGACGGATGCTGGGCCTGCGTTTATGGGGTGACTGGAGACCAGGGGTCTGGGAGAGCTGCAGAAGGGGACTAAAAAAAACCAAATTCATTTGCGCTACAACTCTTACGCCTGGCAAGATGTCCGAGGAGATCTGGACTAGAAATATTTTTAGGAGATGACAAGTCATTAAAAGCTGAAACAGCAGCAGGCAGATGAGGAAGCCCGCATGATGTACGGTGATGCGACCCAGCAGGAAAAACCCCAGTGCTGGGGAGCTGGGACAAGCCATCTTCGAGCTGACCACGTGCAGCAGTTTCGGAGCCCAGGGAACATCTTTCCTGCCTGCTGCAGATACGAGGGGAAGCGAGATAAGTCCATCCCCTGAAAAGTCTTTATCTCTAGCCAGGCACACATCCAGAGCGAGCGTGTGCCGCTGTTATTGCTGCGTAGAGGTTATAAGGCCATCAGAAATCAGCGCACCACAATGGTTTTAAGGGAGTGGATGTGTTTGGATCGAGTTGGGAGGGCTGAGAGCAGAAAAGCAGGAGTTTGGTCCTACGGATGCAATTTGTGCTCCCCTCACAGCAGTGTGATTTCCTAGCGGGGTTGTAGAGCACGTATAACTTCAGAGCCCTCCTGAGACATTTTGGGTTGTGTTAAAGCCTTTCCTGTGAACTATTAAGTTTAATTAGGCTACCAACAGTGTTTATTTTATGTGGAGGAAGGGAATGCGGCAGCTCCTTTCACATTATTTCCTCGGGAGGAGGAGGAGAGGGAAGGCTACAGGACAGCGTGCTCCGGCCGTGCCCCACGCACAGGGAACATCCCAGAGGAAACTGTATTTAATGAAGGAGATTTGGGGCTGCGCAGCTCAGCAGAGAAGCTGTGGGCTGCAAAAGGAAGATGCAGTGACACTCAATTGATGAGGTCTCTGCAGACCCCTGGCCCTTTCCCCTTGGGGAAGGACAGGGTGAGACCCCCTCCGATTGCTTGCCTCTTCCTGAGGCATTAATGTTTCATCTGGAGGCCCAAATTTTGTGATCGCAAAGCCAAAGGCATCAGGCCTGAAAACGCCTCCTGAAATTTTGGAGCTGCCTTTACTATTATTGACATAATAAAGTGAGTTATCTCCCCACTGGGAGCGGAGGTAGCAGGTGGTTCTGCTTTTATGTAGATGTAGAAAAAAAGGTAAGAAGCGTTAATTAAGAGTTCAAGCAGAAAGGTGCCCACTAGACTTCCACTTCAGCGACGCCATCAATTTGCTACGCTTCGCAAGCGGCTGGAAGCACCTTTCAGCTCCTTCTGGTCCAGGCAGCAACGCCGGGCAGCATCACGCTCCCGCCGTACAGACAAACCTGCTGCCAGCATAAACCACCTGCTCATTACGAGCACCCACGGTGCTCTTCAGAGGAACGTGCTTCTTATCCAGGCCCTGGCTTTTATTTCAACAAGGGGTCTCATTGTTGAGCTGGATCTTGGTGCCTGTTGCACAAACAAATGCTTTAAATGCCCCTTCACTGAAACACAAAGAAGCGCCAAGGGAAAAAGAAAGGTAAGAAAAAAATACAGGGTTTTCCCTGGTTTGATTGAAGATAAGATCTGGGGCAAACCTAATGGTCAAACTGGAGCACTGTCAAAGGCACAGATTTAATCTGTGCTCACAGGAGTGATGTGAGAGTCCCGCGGTCAGACAAGGTTTCAGCTGGGGGGAGCTCAGCGCAACTTCTTTAACTGAGGTTGGCAGAGCAGCCAGAAGAGCCGTCGGCACCTTCGGACTATGGGAGAAAGTATTTAAATAACGACTCACGTACACAAAGAATCCCAGGATCCCTTCTTCCTTAAATATCCTGCCGATGGCGCTGAACACACCGCTGCCAAGAAAGGTAAAGAGCTGTAAGTGTGCAGGGGTTGCTCTCTGTCCCGCTTCACGTGCACTCTGCAGCCACCAGCCATAGCAGTGTCCCCCCCCAAGCCACCGTGCCAGCAATGCGGCAGGCAGCTCCGTTCTGCTCCTTCTCCTCAACCCATGGAGGGTCGTGTCTGCACTCTGCCAGTCTGCAATAACGCCTGGGACAACACTCAGCTTGCTGACAACTGTTTAAATGCTGAAGCTAGAAGAGCTCTGCTTGGTTTTGTGTGAGTGGATACACGTGCCACAACCACGGCACATAATATGCTTCGATTAGGCTGATTCTCAACCCAAGAACCCTGGTCCTGCCTCTGGGAGCTCGCGCTGGCAGTTGTGGGTTAGCCAAAATCGTGTCTAACATGCTTTCAGGTGGCTGCAAGTGTGGTTTTGCCCTGCAGAAAGGTAGATATTACTGAAAAAGGCTTGGAAAAATCTTGGCAGGCTAGCAGGGTTGCAGCAACGCTTTGCATTACCTACTCTGCCTCCCTGCTGATTTCCCTTTCCATTAACACCTAAAGCAAAAAGGCAGGAGACTCGCTGTGTGATCAGCAAGGTGGGATACAGCCACCAAAATCCCCCTGGGCACAAGGCAGAACAGAGGCACACCAGGGACAGAGCCCAGCCTTCCCACATCCCTTCATCCCGCAGTCACCCACCCTCTAACCGTGGCTCAGATTCACTTTTCGGTCTCCCAAAGCCGTATCCCCCGTTGCATGGGAGTGTCTGGCACGGCTGACTCCAGGACTCGCACTTCTGTGTGCCCAAACCCTTTGGAGCTGCAGCCACTCACCTGTATTTAACTTCCCGGCCTACGAACTGGACCATGCAGCGCATGGAGATCACTACAAGGAAAGAAACACAGGGCTGACAAAGAAACAAATCCGGTTTGGGTTGCAATGGATGTGAAGGAAAATGCCACCTGACCCTTCTGCCCTCCCTTCCCTCACCTCGCATCACCTCCAGCTCCTCTCGGTGGTCCCCATCACTGCAAGACTCATTAGAAACCGGTACCCTCCCCTAGACTGCAGGTGATGGGAAGGATTTCTGGCCCTAACCTCAATAGGATCTCCAGGACAAGCTCTTGGATGAATGGGAAGAGAGCACCTTGCCGCTCGGCTGGGTTAGTCCCTGAAGGCCAACCCAAGTGTCAGCCTCCCTGAGCAACCGCTCGGACCTGCGTCTGTTCTGCGGTGTCATGTTTGGGCCCCTCACTACAAGAAGGACGTCGAGGTGCTGGAGCGTGTCTAGAGAAGGGCAACGAGGCTGGTGAGGGGTCTGGAGAACAAGTCTGATGAGGAGCGGCTGAGGGAACTGGGGTTGTTTAGCCTGGAGAAAAGGAGGCTGAGGGGAGACCTCATCGCTCTCTACAACTCCCTGAAAGGAGGCTGTAGCGAGGGGGGGGTCGGTCTCTTCTCCCAAGTAACTGGCGATATGACGAGAGGAAATGGCCTCAAGTTGCGCCAGGGGAGGTTTAGATTGGACTTGAGGAAAAATTTCTTTACGGAAAGAGTAGTTAAACATTGAGACAGGCTGCCCAGGGAAGTGGTTGAGTCACCATCCCTGGAAGTATTTAAAGACGTGTAGATGAGGCGCTTAGGGACATGGTTTAGTGGGCATGGGGGTGTTGGGTTGACGGTTGGACTCGATGGTCTTAGAGGTCTCTTCCAACCTTAATGATTCTATGATTCTATATGAACCCATTTCTGATAGAGAAGCACATCGAGTAAACGGGGCTTTGGGGCGATCTTCAGTCTGGAGAGGGCTGCCAGGCAGGGGGACAGGACTTACCATGCAGCGGATGTGAGACGACCCGGGACACGCACTGCATCATCATCTCATGAGATGTCTGGGAAGGGGAGGAAAAAACCACACCTGTATGAAAAGCTGCCACCCGCGCAGGTCAGGCCCTTTCCCTCAGTGTAGTGAAACCCATTTTGGGTCCCTCTTTTGAAATCCGTTGTTCGTCGTAAACCGCTATTCCTACGAAGTATTTCAGAGCTGGACACAGAGTGGCTACTGAATACCACGGCCTTTTCACCCAGAGTTTCTCTCCAAGTAATTTCACCTGCAGCCCACAGTTTAAGCTTCCTTTGCTCTCCAGGCACATCCCAATGCGATCTTCCCCGATCACTCGTTAACGTGCAATATCGACTTCTCACCTCTTTCACCACTTTCCTAAGGGAGGTCTTCACGTCATCCTTGTTAGAAACGTGCTCCATGTCTTCCAGGGGAAAGGCCTGAGCAGAGAGAGAAGAAACATATGGTCAAAACTGATGGAGACGCTGACCCACAAACCCTCGATGTCTGAGGACAGGAGGAAATCACGACCGGTTGCGCTCTAGATGGGAGGAGAAGGAAAAACAGGCAAGAAGGAACATAGGAGAAGGAAGGATGGAAAGTAAAACAGGGGAAGAGAAGGATCGTGAAACTGTTTACAAAAGATAAAAGGCAAGTGGTTGTTCAAATTAAATTAAAATTGTTTAAAAAATAAGTTTTAGGGATATTGGGCACTGTCCTCCTCCTGTCCTGGAGGACTATTCAAAGCCCTTAGGAAATGGAGAGGGATGGGTGCTTTATTCCTCCACGTGCAGTCGTGGCTGGGTGCAGGCTCCCTGGCTCCGCTGCAGTAGCACCGGCCGACCCAGCAAGCTGATTTATGGAGAGAGAAGCCGACCTTTACCTTCTTCACGCTCCCCCTGGTGATGGTTGATAAAGTGCTTGAGATGAGGCGAGGAGTAAGACCGCGGAAGAGGCCTCTTTTCCCATCCACTTCCACAATGTGTCTGGCTGGGTAAGAAAACACCAGGCTGCCGTCAGTCGGGAACCGGCCGACTCGCGGAGAGCATCCCAAACACCTCCGGCGTTCAGCCGAAACCGCGCCGGAGCTCAGCACGGCACGGCAAGCCCCTCTGCGGTCCCACCGTAAGTGATTTATTGTAACAGTCCTAAATACACTTCATACAGGATGCAAAGAATCCTTAAGTATTCCCTGTCATCTCTGTCTAATCTGGAAGGGTAGCTCCGGTATTTTGGGCTACTTCTCGTCTTTTGATTGTTTTCCTCACCTCAAAGGGCTACAGGGCAGTTTGGACTGAACCAGGGGAGGGAGGGATCATCTCGTGTGCTGTGCGGTGTCACCTCCTCCCTCCACCCCCGGGGCGGGGGGGGTCAGACTCAGGTTTAATACGGACCTCGCAAACCCAGGTTCAGTTCCTGCCCCACCACCTTTCTCTCCGGCAAACGTCCTCAGGTCTCCAGCCAAAAAAAAAAAAAAAAAAAAGCCAATGGATCCAGTTTCTCCCTGATAGAACAAGGTGGAATACAACCCGCTAAGTGCTTGTGGGTACCGACTGCTCCTGCCCCCCCCTCCTCCGCTGTCCCAAGGGAAGCCAGGAAGGCTCTGCACATCTCCATCGCCCAATGCTGTACATCTATTTGGAGAATTCAGCTTCCAAAGGGCACCGCCGGAGCATTTCCAGCCCCGGGCGTTCCAGGACGGGTTTGCAGTGCTTTTTGCGCTGGGTGCCCCCCGCCCCGCGGGTACTGCCGTCCGATTTTGGGATCAGCTCAACTTGACTTTCAGGACTGTGAGCTCCCCTTCCCCACGGCAAACCCGCTGTGAAAGCAACCCCCAAGGTCACAGAGCATTCACCCGCCTCTCCTGTGCTGCTCCACCCGCAAAAAGAGAAAAATAGGACTTTTTTTCTTCCTTCTAAACACATTACCTTCCCTTTTCTTGGTATTTCTGTCCCTCTAGGGCTCCATCTACAACACAAATGAGCAGGGCAGGGGGCCAAGTTTTTGCAGGGCTGTTTTGTAGCAAAGAAAGGCACTTTGCTATCTCTAACACAAGCAAAACCCTCCACCAACAAACCTACGCCACCTAAACCCCCACCGCCCCCTCTGCTGCGGCGCAAACCCAGAGCGACGTGCCACGGGAAGGGGATGCAGCCACCAGCGCCGGGCCCACCACCTCCTTGCCTCCAACAACAGGCAGGTGAATCTGACAGCTTTGCAACTAGTTGTAGTGTTTTATGTCCCACTGCAGCCTCGGGATGATCCCAAGGACACTGCTGGGGACGTGGGAATGCTGCTGGAGGTCAGCTCGGTCTACCTGGCACCTCCCGGCCCCGTTTTTGGGCAGGACCTTGCGCTGGCAGGGAGGAACGTTCGCTCACCGTAGGTGAAGAAGCCGGGCAGGTACAGGACTTTCCTTCCCAGCACGTTTCTTCCGACGGTTGGAGGTAGTGGCTCGTGCCCGACCTGCAAGAGAAACCCCGTGAGCGGGTCCCTGCCCCTGTCCCGGTGCTCCTGAAGCCCCCGGGCCGCACGGCCTCGGTCCCGGCATCCGCGAGCTGCCGAAGGGCCACGTTCCCACCCCGTCACCCTCAGATACAGGGGGGTGCCATGACATGGGCAGTCCCTTTCCCTCGTTATACAGGGTCCCTAGGGTACAGGGGGCCTCATCCTTCCCCTTTTATGGGGGTCCCTATTACAGAGGGGTTCTCGGGACACTGCAGGTCCTCACCCGCCCCCCGCCACGTAGGGGTTTCCCATCCCTCATTCCATAGGAGTCCCCATTGCAGCAGGTATCCTCATCCCTCCCATTTTATAGGGGTCCCCACTCTACAGGGTGTCCCCATCCCCTGTCATATGAGGGGGTCCCGATGCCCCCCCCCGCTACAAAGGAGTCCCCACTGTATAGGGGTCCTCATCCCTCCGTTACATAGGGCTTCCTATTCCCTGTTATATAGGGGGTCCCCCTTGTAGCAGGTATCCTCATCCTCCCATCGTATAGACTTCCCCATTTTGTAGCCGCCCTCATCCTCCCCGTTACACAGGGACCCCCATCGTACAGGGTGACCCCATCCCCCGTTATATACGGGGTTCCCGTTGCGTGGGGGTCCTCAGTGCCTCCTTATTAGGGGCGTCCCCCCATTATATGGGTGCCCCCATTGTGTCCCCTGTTATAAAACGGGGGGGGGGGGGGGCGGTTATTATGTTGGCCCCGGCGCAACGGGGGCCGCCTT